AAAACCCCCCCCCCCCCATCACTTTTCTAATGGTCCGCCCCTAAATATAACTTTTATACTTGCAGACGGAACGCCGGATTTGCAGAGCACCGCATTTTAGTACTGTGTTTATAAACAGCCTTTCGCGCTCGTATTCGACTTTTCCGCTTAGCTCGGGGGAAAACCTTGAATCTCAATTGAAAGAGCTGTGTACTGTATGTATCATGTACATTGTACAGTAATGTGCGTATTTGTATAGCCCCGCAAAGCGTCTTGTTTTGCAACAATTGCCAAGCATGCGTAGAACTCACGTTGGAAATCCAACGTACTATCTGCCGTTAGCCAATCACAGACCTGAATCAATTCGATTTCTCCAGAGATATTTCCACCCTTAACCTGCGAACGGGCATGCTCGGGGAACGAGATTGTGGTTAGAGCTATTCAGATCCGTCAGAGCACCTATATAGTCACCAGGCTTTTTCTGACATGGCCACAAAATTCAATATCGTGCCTGACAAGGAGTGGTTATACACTATTTTTTTTCTTCTTTATTCTTCGAAATATTTTTGTTGTTACAATCAAGAAATGACAGGAAACACCAGGTATCTTATTTTTATCAGAAAGAAGACATTGACACAGTCATGGTGGTTGATAAAAATAATGAGAACAGTACATTTAACCCTGTGACTATTCGACCGGCAGCCGTCACGTTTCAAAATCTACTAAATGGCCGCTGCCTGTATTTATAGTTAAAGTAAATTGAAACAAAAATAAACTAACACCAACCCCATTCTTAACTCTATCCTATAACCCTAACCCCCCCAAATTAAAACTAGTCAGGAAAAAAGGTTAAACATGTTTAAAAACAGTCCCGACGCACTGAACGCAGGTTCGAACCGCGAACTAGCGAGTGTCCTTCAAAAAACAGGGCACTGTTTGATTTCATGCAACGTAAAAGCTATAAAAGCCATTGTAATGAAATAAAGATCATTGCATTAAGCAGAAAGGATTAACTTAGAGTTTGACTATATACAACACTTGAATTTACATGCAATATTGAGCGAGGCACAACCAAGTAAAATTGTTATACAACCTCGTACCCAGGGCATTTTGTTTCCGGTCAGCGATAATGGCACTGGCATCGGCCGGTCACATGACCTGAAAATCTCCAGTATTTGGGTTGTTCAATTAAGATAATTTATGCGCATCAAAACGTATGTAGAATAATTATACACATTTTAATTACTGACAAGAGTAAACACACTCGATGCTGCGTATATAACTGATCAAAGAGAAAGCAACAAAATAAGTTGACTTTAATCGGTTTTCGTTGTTTACCCTCATGCAACAACATAGTCCGTAATATTGATGACTTTTAAACATATTTAGAGCCTGGTTAGCCTGTTATTAAATTCTTAATGAACTACAACCAAACCGCTTCAGTGTTTGCCGGTTTATACAAATCGTGTTATGAGCAAACATATTCGTATCACAATCTTTGTTTGACTGTATAAACGATGCATGTGAGAAACGTATGTTGAACCGACGGAAGCAAAACTCGTCCAGAAAAAGGTACCGAGACTTAATTTGAACCAGATAGTTTTGTGATATATTGTTTTTCCCCAACTCATGCTGTATCTCAAGCGAAATGTCAAAAATCTTATTTACTCAATACTTTAGTCTTTCATGAACTAATTATAAATTTGTTACTCCACTCTTGTTGCATCAAAGTAATAATTATTGCCACATATATATATTGAATATTTACATTCAAAATCATTGACCAATCAGGTTGCAACCGAAGCCAGCAGGCTGCTCCATTTACTGTTCTATAAAATGGAGTGCACATGCACGGTGTTCTGGTTCTGGAACAGTGTTTAGCTTATTATATATGCGTGCAACCGTGCATTATTATATTAATTAGTTATTCGCATACTATAAAGCGTATAATGATTTGCTGTTATTTGTATATCTAAGTATGCTTTTGCAACGTTTTTACTCGTTGATTTTGCCCAACCATGGCGTTCAACAGTTATATATAGCGCTTAAACCTTCAAAATAACGCTCTATTCATTTTTCAGTATGCTTTGGATACACAAAATCTGTCGCCTCCATTTCCAATCACGTAAAAATAAGCAGTGTTACGTGTCTGTTCTGGCTGCCGCTACGGCCCTACTCGAAAATCGGGGTAGTCAGAACCGTTCAGAACAGTCATGTGATTGTCCTCTGTTCCATTCCATTAGTGTTCCGAAAATCCGGAGTACTCCGAACAGTAAATGGAGCAGCTTGCAGGGCCTTGGAGCACCTTGCAGGACGATCCCACCGTGGGAGCAAAAACCACTGGGTACGAGGTTGATTGTTGTTAGTGTCAAAGTTCAATTTTTCTGTTTGCCGATTGGTCAAAACCGTAACACGTGCCGGTCCACAAAATATCATGTTCACTGCATGCTTTGACGAGGGGGCAACCGCTCCACAATGAAACAATTATTGACCGGTCGACAATAGAATGGGCGCAGTGCGCATGCGCCTCAACCGTGAAGTTCCAAAGTTCATTTTATTAAACTTTTTTTATTAAACATTTACTGCGTTCCATTTATCTAGTTTTGGTTCACTCCAATAACCGGTGAAGATATCGTTCCTACTTTGAAAGTTATATACTATGTAAGAAAACACTTATTCACTGAGACCTCGGGAAAGCAGTGTTTTTTGTGGCCCCTCGACCGCCGGCCTCGGGTCTACATAACACACTGTTTCCCTCGGTCTCAGTAAATAAGTGATAAGATAAATATTTGTCATTTGCTGTGTTGCTCATGTACTCAGGTGAATAAGATGCTTATGTCATGTTACTCTGAGTATAGATCCACACCGGGCAGGCTTGAAAAATATGCTTGGCCACGGTGGGAATCGAACCTGCGACCTTTGGAATACTAGTCAATGCTCTGCCAACTGACCTACGCGGTCAGGTCGGTTCGACTATGTGATATTTCGGAACTGAGTATAGTTCTTTCAATATGAGTGTAATCTAGCTAATAATCATGATATTTGCTGTGTTGCTGTAATGTACTCAGGTGAATAAGATGCTTGTGATGTTACTCTGAGTGTATATCCACATCGGGCAGGCTTGAAAAATATGCCTGGCCACGGTGGGAATCGAATTTACGACCTTTGAAATACTAGCTTTGGAATACTGGGCTACTTGATGCTTTGGAGGACATTTGCAGACCAATTTACTGTAGTGTACGTATGCAAAACACCATTTCTATGTGTTGAGTGTAGTTTGGATATGGAAAGGGAATGATTTTACGTGATTAGACAATATTTTTGGGCCTGTGAAATATTCTTGACTTTGTACCAAATGAATACACAATTAATCACAAATGTGAATTTTGTTGAACTCAGTTTTTTTAAAAGTGGGCACAAGTTGCACTATGTTAACACTCTCCCATATATATATGTCATCATTTCCATATATAAACTCAATTTACTTCATGGACAGTACAAAAACCCATACAGCAGTGCCAGAACAAAATTCTAAATTGAATATTTAACAATTATTCGCCGAAGGCGAGGTGATTATCGGGGAATATTCGCCGAGACGAAGTCTAGATGAATATTCCCCGATAATCACCAAGCCTGAGGCGAATAATTGTTTTAGTATTTTTACACAAGTCTTTTGTGTTTTTGGGACTGAATTTACTTTAATTTCGCTTATTTCTTAAAACCAATTAATAAAACCAATTGAAAATTTCGTTTCCTTGGTTAAGGTTGGCTGACCCAACATCCTTGGTTAAGGTTGGCTGACCCAACATCCTTGGTTAAGGTTGGCTGACCCAAATAAATTTTTGAAGTTAAATATACAGAGAAGAGAAATATTGAAGAATTTTTGGAAAATCAAAAGTATAAACCGATGAAAAAAGCAAATATGGCTTCATCCGTCGCCACGTGTAATGTTGATCTGAATTTTACACGCTACAAATATGAAGAATTTAAAAACACAAAAGCACGAACTGTTCCTTACGAAGATATGGATTACACCATATATAAACCATCTGCTAATTGCGTGGCTTTTCTAACCAGCGAAGATCGGATCATTCACTGGATAAAAATATTTTATTATCGCTACTGCGGCGAAATAAACAATCAAGATGGCGAACGGCAATTATTTAAATCAACTTGGGAAGAACAACTCGCCCAAAACGACTCACCGAAATGCGAAAAAATCACACTAACTCTGTCTATCGAAGGCAAAAAAACGGATAAAAATCTTATTACCATAATTATTTACTGCATGTAGTACTGGTAGAATCCAGATACAAGGACGTTCTATGCGTGCGTGGGGCGATAATGAATTCCTTACAATCAAGAAGCTGGTAGACTTAGACATCGATGAAATATCTTACAATACAGCATCCAAAAACCTTCAAACCTTCATCGAGAATATTACAGACTCCAACTAAAGAAACAAGACTGGATGAAGTCAATGAGATGTCCCCACAAGCAACTCGAAATCCTGCTGGTAACTCGAACCCCGCATGTGAAGAATCTGTTATAATTAAAACCAATGTGGCAAATCTTGAAACAAATTTTGTTTCCTTCAAACAAGATATTCTAAAATCATACGAAGAAATAAAGAAAGATATGAAGAAAAAATATGATGAAATCGAAATTTTAAAGAAAAGGATTACCAGTCTTGAGACACTAAATGAGCTTCTTCAAAAAGACAATGCTGATCTGACTAACATCTCACATAAACAAAAGCAATTAGAAAAGAAAGTTAGTAATGCCATTACCCTATGTAAAGACCTAAAACAAAAACCGTAACTCCACCATCCACCGAAGAATCCTCCCACCAAATGGTTCCAGCTGAAAGTACCACTGAACCCACATCAAACATGGAATCAAAACCAACACAACCAAATCCACCCCTAGAAACTCACCTCATATCCACCATCACTACTCAGAACAAATTCTCGGCCTTTGACAATGAAAGCCCTGACATGCCAAACAGTTTAATGCAAACACAAGAAAAAGATTCCCTAACAGAAATAAAAGCAGACGCTGTTATCCTTTGCGATTCCAATGGAAGAAACATAAATCCAACACTACTGTGCCCCAACTCCACTACCAAATACCTGAAATGCCCTACAGTAGAACAAGCTAGAGAAATCTTTGACCGACACAAATTCATCGAGCCTAAGACCTTTATCATTCACTGTGGTACAAATGACATTGAAAACTACCTACTGACAACATCTCCAAACAAATGAAATCCCTCCTATCATCAATCAATCAAAAACACCCTCAATCCCGGATAATACTCTCCTGCCTCCTACCCCGCGACGACAACCTCCTTCAAAAAGCGCGATACCTCAATGAAAAACTAATGAAAACTGCAAAATAATTCCCAAACACAACCTCTGTAACCCATGCAAACCTATTCCAGTCCACATCAATACTCTATGACAAGAAACACCTAAACGACAAAGGTTTCAGAATCTTTGCAAAAAACCTTAAAAGTGCATATTATGGAACCCATCAGAAAAGAGCAAACTCTAAACCAAAACCATATCCCCATCCAGCCATCAGACCTTATCCCCAACCACTACCTTCCATTCCACTGCATCATTCATCCCGTAACCCTTCAACTTCAGACTACCATCAACACTCCCCCCAACGCGCACACAATGGCAGCCCAAGCAACATGATGAGACCATTAAATGGTAATGCCAACCTGAAAATTGCTGAATTGACGAATTTTCTCCACGGACTACTCCAATGATTTTGTGAGTGCCAATTAGTTAAACCTATACCTTTTCTATTATAAAACTATTACCACATCAT